GAAACAAGGATTGAGAAATACATGAATGCATACAATTTTATAGGGAGAGATTCACACCTAATCTTATCTATTATATCTATCTTTATAGGTGTAGATGTAGATAAATACAGCAAAGATTTATAACATGCTTAAAACAGTAACTGGTATCCAGTGAACTATCGGTGGCTTCTGGGGTGCTATTCCATCAGTAGCATATAGCCACGTGTATATGGCTCATCACTCCGTTACTGTGCTCTATAGACTCAGTATCTGAGGTTGTCTGATATGTGGCAACAGCATTGGAGCAGGAGGTCCTGCAGGAAGGTCACCTTGGGATTTTCTTCTTGTGCCCTGTCACAAGCTCCCAGGAACCCTAGCAATGTGGAGGGTCAGCTGGAGCCCATGCCAGTCAGTGCCCTCCCCGGCCTAGGACAGAGTGAGGATGAAGAGGGCAGCTCCAGATTCCCCTTACACACACTTCATCTCAGGCACCTCTCCTGGATGGCTACAGGTGACCCCTGGGACCCTAACCTGCCCCTCGCTCTGGCCGCGGCTGCATTCTGCACAGGGGCTGTCATGCTGAACAGCCCCACGTGCCCACAGCTCCTGACCTTGCCTTCAAGTCAAGAGCTTCCCATCTCCTTCCCTGACCCACACATGCTCAGCCCCAAGTGCAGCATGAAGCTGCAGGCATCGGCTTCCTCTTCTTCTTGGGGACCGCTGCTGATCCACTCCTTATTGACAGTCCAGCCGGTGTGCACCAGGCTCTCCCCCTTTTCCCTTCCGCTCATTTCCCCAGCCCTTGCTCCTGCCGCTGGCACCACACACCCATGCCTTACAGACCAGCCCTTGCCCTGGGCTCTGGCTTCTGTGGGACTCATGAAAATTGGTGGCCACCTGGGCCTTGGAGACACACGGAGATAGGTGAGTCCCCAAATTGCCTTGGCCCTCATGCTGTGGTTTCCAGAAAGGAGAAGGAGCAGTCGATCCTGACATAGTGAGGACATAACGTCCTGAGCTCTGGAGAGAAGCTTCCAGACAGGGAGCCAGGTTGATGCAGCCCCGGAGCCTGCCCAGTGTATATACACACACACACACACACACACACACACACACACACACACACACACACACACACACATGCATCCGTGTGCACACTCCCACATGTGCACACATATGCATGTGCATACACATAGGTGCACACACTACTCCATGGATTAACACCATTTGATACAATAGACAGTGGACACTGGACTCGAGTATAAATACTAATTAAAATTAAAAAAGCAACTCATCCCTTACTGCAATGCTCGGTGGTCACATGTAGCTGGGAGCAACTCTGTCGGCCCAGGTCATCGGGGCAGAAGCAGAACACTGGTGCCCTGGTCACCCTCTGGGTGCTGGCCAGTTCAGAAAGACTGTGCTTCCTACTCTTTCTACATTTTCATCTCTCAGTGGACTCTAGTGCCATTTATATATATGAGAAGATAAAAGAAATATAATGGTATTTATTCTCTGCATTGGTCATAAAGCAGATACAGCTCTAGGAAGAGCAAGGGCTGTCCGGATACCAAGACAGAGGAGTCCCTAATTTAAATATCTCCAAACCTATTTTTCTCCCTATAGCTGCCTATCTACTATCAGCTGGTTGACTGATCTATCCATCTGTGTCCCATATGCTTAGTTTAGAACAACTGTCTATAATGTAATGGAAGAATAATTAAAAGTATCATATATATATATATATAGTATTTTATCATGTATATCTCAGGCATTATAGATATAACTCGGGCCTTATGAACACTGCCACTAAAGCCACAACCCCAAACCTTTTTGGCTTTAGTTATTTTTCAGATAGTGCTTCATGGTTTTTGTCTTGAGGCCAGCCTTAGACCATAATCCTCCTACCTATTCTTCCTTTGTAGGTGTGCATCATCACACCCAACTCCTTTGTTAAAATGAGACCTCACTAACTTTTTGGGGGGGAGGGGTTTACTGGGATCTTCTGGATCTCTGCTTCCTGAGTTGCTGGGACTATGGGCATACACCACCATATCTGGCTTGGATAGAAGCTTTTGAAAATCACTATGGGTTCTGCTCACAGCCAAGGGTAAAAACTACTGGGGGAGGGGCCAGCAGCTTGGCTCCAGCGGTAGACTGCCTGCACAGCAAGCAGGGCCCCTAGTTCAATACCCGGGAGAGAAAGAGAGGAGAGGGGAAGAGAGAAAGGAGAGGGTGTGTGTGAGGAAGAGAGTGAGAGAGTGAGTGAGTGAGAGAGGGAGAGAGAGAGACTGGGGTAGGAAATAGAAAAGCAAGTAGTCACGTCTTCAACACCATATGGCAGGCACTGTTTTGAGCCCACAGTCTTCATTATAAACCCTGATACTGTCTCACTTTGAGACATCTAGAGGCAAGCTGATACCTTCCTCAGTCCCCTACTATTACTGCTGCTACACTGCGAGACTACAAATCACGACACTGTGCAGTTCGTATGCAGCACGAATCATATGTGACTTTTAGTATCTGTGATAAACATCACCTTTATAATTAAAGGCAGTAGGTGAAACCAGAGAGGCTCCAGTGTGCAGCTCTTGTGAGGACGGGGCTCTGGGGTAGCAGCGTGTGGCATCTCTACTCACTTCAAATGCTCACGTCCCTATATCTTTTTCTCTATCACACCCACTGATTTTCTTCAATGGTCTGATCAACTAGAGTTTCACTGCCATATACACTTTGAGAGCTCCTACAAGTCGCGAGAGCTCCCATCCACCCAGCACTTACTATGCACTACGTCCTGTGCTTTGCTGACATGAACCCAGCACATAGCCATGACCGTCCTCAACCAAGAACTGCCCAGGTCTCCTTCCAGCCGCCCCTCGGAAGCCAGCATCATGAGTGCTTCAAACTCCTCCTTCTCCCAGATGAGCTCAGCGCCCGCACACCTCTGCCTCTTCTCCTTGTCGCTGGCCAGACTCCTGCAAGCACCCTGGATCTCCTCTCTCTCTCTCCACCGCCAGTCGAATCCCATGTTCTGTGAGCTCTAGGTATCTTTTTACTCCATTTAGATCTCCACCCTTCTAGACAACTCCTGTCATTTCTGTTCTGGGGTCTGGCAGAGCCACCCAACTCACCTACCTGTGTCCGGTCTTATTTTCTCTTTAATTCTAGCTGTTCTGAGTGTCTGAAAAATGGGATTAGAATGGGGTCTCTTTCATCTCATTGCAAGGTTTGCCTGAAGCAGAGAGGATCTGTGGCTCTGCACGTGTCAGCCATGCGCGGAGGCACAGGTGACTCGTGAGCGACAGCCTGAGGTGGCACTCTGCACCTAACCGCACCAGGCATGCTCGGTGTGCCCGCCGCGGTCAGAAAAGTCATGATGAAGAGGGAGAGCAGAAAGGACAATTTTCTAGACTTTTTGAGATAGATGAAGTATCAGAACACCCTATTACAAAACGGAGAACCTCTAAACAGCAATGCAACATCATCATTTCAGCTCCATGGCACACTTTGTTGGGTGCTTGTGGCTTGAGGTCTGCTATGATGCTGGGGCTAAACTGCCAGCCAAGGCTGGCATCTCCTCCAAAGGCTTAACAGGTTCAGCTCCCAGGCTCCCAGGCCCTCAGCAGGCCTTGGTCCCCTGCCACTCAGCCTTTGCCCAGGGTTTGTCCTCCCCAGGGCCGTGATCCTGGGGGAGCTCTGGGAGATGGCTGTAGAAGCCACCATCTTTTAGAACCTGTCCTCAAAAGTGACATCTTATCTGCATGGAACAGAAGCAAGTCACAAAGGCCAGTCCCTGCCCAAGTGGGATTCCACACCGGCAGAGGCCCTGGGGCTGGGCTCCAGGCTGAGACCATGGCCTAGGAGCAGTCCTCGGCCTGTCTGCTCATCGCCATGGCCACGGACCCACCGCGCCCCGCTCACTGTGTCCTCTCTGCCGCCGCTTCCTGACGGACCTTTCACAGAATCCCCAAGTGGGTCGGCGTTGTTAGAGTAGCAGCTAGCGTGAGGAATGCACGTCTGTCCACACCAGGAGACAGACATTAAAGTTTAAGCAGTATTACCAAGCCTAAAAATTCAAGCAATTCAAGTTGCTTATCAAAAGACCTAAGTGTCTGTTGGAAGAGATTTAAAAATATTAAAGTGAAGTATCTACTTAATGATTCAATGTCTATAGTTCTGATATGTATACTTAGTATAATTAAATTTACTGTGCCTAGCAAGAAAGAGCATGTTGTAGATAAATGGGGACCATCCCGGAAAAGCTGCTGCCTCTGAACGTGACCTTATTTGGACTTAGGGTTTTTTTATTAGTAATGAAGTTAAAGGAGGGGGTGGGGATGAGAACCGGAGTCATTAGAAGAATGGCCAGTGTGGACACAGCACATGTAAGGACAAGATGCAAGCCCACAGAGAGACGAGCCTGTGTGTCTGCCTGCACAGGCCCTTCCCCGTGTCCAGGAAGGCTCCACCCTGTGGACACTGGGATGTTACACTCTAGTCTCCAGAACTGTGAGACCATAAACATCTCATGTTGAAAGAGAGATCCAGGCAAAGACACAAGGACAGAGAGATTTTTAACAAGGTACATATGTATCTCGACCAGCTGCTTTTAAAGAGATACAAAGACTCACTCTTAAACTCTCATCACACTATTTCTTTAAAATTTGTAAACGGCTGTTTGCTGGTATCTCTGTCCGTAATCCTAGTGACTCAGGAGGCTAAGCCGCGGACATCACAGTGCCAAGTTAGCCCAGGCAGAGAAGTCTACGTGACTCCATTTCCAAATAACCTGCAAAACTGCTCATGAGGCATGACTCAAGTGGTAGAATACCAGCACAAATAAGAACACTGAATGAGACTGTGAGGCCCAGAGTTCAAGTCCTGGTACTGGCGCACGCACACGCGCATACACACATACAGTCACACACAAAACAATGTAAATGGATACAGTTCTGGATGAAAAGAATTAAACTTCCCTCTAACATCCTCGAGCAGGGCAGGCAGCGGGGGCGGGGACCTACCTTCTGGTAGTCCTCCTTGGACCTCAGGGCCGCCTCCATCTGCGTGGCCGAGGTCACGTAGATCGCTGACCGGTACTGGGTGCCGTGGTCATTGCCTTGGCGCATGCCTGGGGGTGAAGAACACAGACAATCAGGCAGGCGACAGGCAACTGTGCTGTCATTCACCCATGCCATACCAAAGTGTGCAAGCACTGTTCTCACATGGTCACCTGATATGTGCCCCAGTGCTTGGTATCACTTTCTCAAAACAAGCATGAAATGCATCCACTTTGATTTGCCAGTTTCGATGATCACCGATATCTGTAGGCTCAGGTGAATTCATTACAGGTCTTGGATCATGTTAGCTACTCCACAAGTAAACATGTTCTATGCAAATACATAAGGAATAATTATCTCATTGAGCACATGTACAGGACTGTGATACACATTCTCTCCTTGGTCCTAAGGGAACTCCCAATGTGAAAGGAGCTATACTTCACTGCAGATAAGGGAGGGGAGGCTGTGTGTGGGCTGCCTGGGGGAGGGGCTCTCAGGAGACATGCCTATCACAGTCACCTCTCCAGGACGAAGGTCACGTGACTGGGTCAAGGGAAACTTAATGATACTTAACGAGACATGACAGCACAGGGAGACTGGTGATCCCTCACCGGCTTACTGGGGTCCCCTGGAAGGCTTCCTGACATGGTCAAGAAACTTCATCCGTTATTCAAGTACCAGCTTCTCAAACACCTCCAGCAGAGGCTCTGACCCCACAAGGAATACGTCTGTGTTTTCAAACGCGAATGCACAAGCCTATCTAGCTAGGAAGCCGGCACTGCTCCAGGTCTGTGGGCCCGAGAACCTGCATTGCTCCTGCACTCATGGTGGTTCTGGAAATATGGGACGGGGCCTGCCTGCTCCCCGAATCACAACAAATGACATGCTATTACCCATTTGTCCTAAACAGCTTTCACCGTGCTATCCTCCAGAGATCAAAATTAATGAAAATTCCTTTTGAGAAAAGATAAGACAAGTGCTATTGAAAGATGAAATACCCCGCTGTGGTCTTTCTCTCGCCCTTAAACAGCTATGTTCAGTCCAACAAAAAGTATTCAGAAGGTGCTAACTGTGTCCTCAGCACTACTGAGGCTCCAGAAGATTTGGTTATAATCCTTGATCTCAAGAAATACCTAGAAAAAAAAGGAGGAGGAAACAGAACGGAGCTGAGCTTGACACACTCTCCCTCTGGGCCTGGCCTTTGACAATACCGTGCTCACTGAACCTGCCTGAGGTCACACACACACTGGGTAAACGGCTGTCCTACCATTTAAACTTCAATGTGTTGGGCACCAAAGCCCCTTTCCCTTTCTGAAACCAATGCACAAGTTGTTCTGGCCGAAAAATCAAAGCTAGTGAGCAAAGTATAGAGTGACTCAGGCTGAGGGAGGAACATCACAGCCCAGGGCCCAGAAAGAAGAACAGGCTTCCTATGTTCTGAGGACTACAAAGACAGGCCTGGTCTTGACGAGGGGCCTGGCAGCAAATGAGGCCGATCAGCCGAATGTGACGCCACGCAGGGATCTCGAAACTTCCCACCCGGGACCAGAGACACGCGAACAAATGTGTCTCCAGAGAGCCAGACCCTAGGGTACATATTCAGTCCTCAGTGACCAAGTTTTCACACAGACTTGACTAGCGCTACCAAGTCCAGGTGCCCTTCACTTGGCTTTGGAAAACGTTAAGCAGATAAGTTCTTCACACGTCTGCTGTTTTCATGTCCCAGGGTTTACTGTGGAGGGTGAGAAGAGGGGAAAAAAAAACAAACCCTAGGTTCAGAAATCACATCTTGGCTTAAGATTCTTCCTGAACACTGAGCTGATTGATGAGGACCGGGCTTTGGGGCAATCATGATGAGGGCTCGGCGGCGGCATGTACCAATCACCTGTGATTTCTCCATCTACCTTCTCTAGAGCTGATTTTAAGGGAACAAACCATTCTGACACTGCTTTATGACATCTCTCCCTCTGGAGAAACTAGGCATAGGTAGTGGAAGGCAGAAATGCTTAATCTACACGGAAGCACAAAGATGGATGAGATCGCACCTGCTCAAAGGGCCTTGTAAACCTCACGTGTGGGAACCAGGCTTGTTACGCATTCTGATGGGAGGGAGGCGTGGGAAATGTGTGAGCAGGGGAATCTTAAGCCAAGCTCCTGCTCCAAGCTGGGCCACTTTTCAAGGTCCCAGGAGCTATCATGGGATGGTTATCATCAGAGCAGGCAGGAACACATTCCCTAGGAGTCACATCTCCATCCCAGGGGCTCTCCATTAGCTGGATGCCCTGGTCGCAAGCAGAGTGACCCTCTCCAGGACAAACCGCCATCGCTCCATAGGAAAGGCGGCCACTGGGTGGGGATGTGTTGGGGTAGTTTAGACTTGGTCTGCAGTTCTCTTCTTGCTCAGCAGGCTAGAAACTTTGTCCAGGAAACAGGATGGAGTCATTGGGGGCATGTCGGCCTCACGTCCAAAGACTTGAGAACCTGACCCAGGTTTTCAGCTGTTTTTTTGGGTTTTAATCCCTACATCTCATTCAAATACAATCAACAGAGGTCTTTGAGAAAAATACCTTCTAGCCCCAATGCTTTCAAACCGACAGTTCAAACAGTGAAATACATTTCCATAGGTTAGGAGAGGTTTTCACATTGTTTTGCATTTTCTGCTATTCTATTAAAAAAAAAGTGGACTCTAAATTTATTTCAATAAGATAACGAAGTTAAAACTGTACAGATGATATCTTGTCTCTGACTGACATATCCACTTACGTTTTGTTTTACTGTTCTTTTGTTCCTCGTTCTTCCCAATCACTCCGCTGCATCAGTGTTAACTCCCTGAGCTTCCTCCCCTCCCTCCCCTCTCCTCACCCCTTCTCTGCCCCCAACAGCACTATGCTTATCCAAGTCTTTCATTAAGACCTGTCCCTTCTGACACGATTTGTTTCCATTTACCACTCATCCTCTTCGCTGCCCATGTTGCTGGGTCCAGTCTTTGGCTGCCCTTTCATGAGCCCTCCCATGGAATGGCTCGTTTCTACTCTGGGAACTCACACCTCCGTGGTGGCGCTCATCCCAGGCTCTCCTTCGCGCTTCCGTCAGTGACATTCGTGCTTCCTGGACATTTCAGCATCCAGGCTCCCTGGCTCCTCTCCACCTCGCTGCATCCGGTCACTGCCCCCGCCCCCCTTCTCATCACCCGACACGGCCGCTCTCCCAGTGACCCAGGCTTGCAGTCTCCAAGGAGCTCGTATTTTACTGGAGCCTCCTTTACTTCTGAGCTGGGCAGGCCTCCAGCTTTCCTTTTGTTTCCTGCCAATCCTTTAGTAATAGTCTAGCTCCTGATGCCACAGCCCACCCCCTCCACCCCCCGCCATATCCAGACCCACTAATGCTTGGTGTGGGATAAAGCTGGAGTAACACCTGATAAAAGGTCCTGCCTGTTTCCAGGGTGCTCAATTTCGTTAACTGTGGGTCAACTCACCACGTGCGCCTATTTCCACCTCACCTGCAGAACCAAACACCTCCCGGTTCACACCTCCTCCCAGAAAAAAGCCCAGGGCATCATTTGCACATTTTCTATTCTCAGAGCTAAGAAGAGATGCAGAAAATGACAGTCCTGGAATTCTCTCCCATTAAAACATCTGCAATTCCATAGTGCTTATGCTAGACATTTTGTTTTTGTTTTTGTTGGTCACAGGGCCTGAACTCGGGTCTGGGCGCTGTCCCTTAGCTCTTCAGCTCAAGGTTAGCACTCTACCACTTGAGCCACAGTGCCACTCCTAGATGTATAGTTTTAACTTGTTGATTACTCCTTTAAGTTTTATGACAACCAACACACTGATAAGTTAACCTCTATATTATTATATAGAAAAGTAAGATGCTTTGGAAATGTAAAATGTAGGTAGCAAATTAAAAGAAAAATATTCTACATTTAGTCTAAATTTGTACTCAAATCCTAGTTTTGAACCACAGCAATTCAGGAAGAGAGTCTCCATGTGTGTTTGGTTAGGCATCAACCTTTGGTCACCTTTTGCCTAGTAGGAAGTGACAAACCATCCAAGCAGAGTGGCAGGGAATGCACACTGGGCTATTTTAAGATGCAGGGAAAAGCCAAGCAATCAATTCATAGTCTCAAAATAAAATTTAAGCATTTTCAGTAGTGTTGGACAACCACACTACTGAAATACAAAGGGTGACTGCCAAGGATTGTGTCTGTACCAAGGTGACTTACCCTTGCCCAGGCGTCTTAACCATGGCTCTGCTGATGTGGTGTCAGGTGTCTTTGTGGTACAGCTGTCCTGTGTATGCTGGATACAGAGCCGTGGCACCCGTCTGGCTGAGATAGGCAAAAATCTCCCTCTCTGTGGCTAAATGTCCCACAGAGAAGCAAAATCACCCGTGGGTAAGAAGCCACATTTCTAGATTAATGGACAAATTTTGATGTTATTACTTATACAGTCTCCATCTTCAAGGCAGGTAAGTGAAGTAACGTGAAGAAAGAAAAAGCTTTTGGGTGGGTGAAGACCAATAGCTCCAAAAAGAGTCTCAGAGGTCTTCCGTATTCATATTTTTGTTTGTATCTGCTGATTTTGGTGGTCACCGGGGTGTTTCTGTTTCATTTCTCCCTCAATGGGAAAGAATGGAGATGTGTAGCCTAGTATACAAGATCTTTTCTTTTCTAGTAAAGTGGTTTTGAAGAGACCTATTTATATCTAAAAGACCAGAAGCACAAATTGAAATCAGATATATACAGTTCAGAGATAGGGCTCTGAACTGCATGGGGGAAGAAAGGAAAAAGTCTATTAAAAATAGAAACATCAATGTTCATTGTCATCACAATGTCCTTCCTGGTGTCTGTAGTACATGACCATGGTGCCCAGAAAATCTCTAAGATGCTTGCTGTCCTCTCAAACTGAATCAATTAGGAATAGCTTTCAGTTTCACAAAGATGAAAATAACAGCGACTTAAACAACAGACGTGTGTCTTTTTTTTCCAGTAAATCAGAAGTCTATTAAAGCAGATAGTTGGGGGGCAGTGGGGTAACTCCGTGGTCTGCAGGAACTCAAATTTCTTCTT